AGCATGGCAATTATCTGCATTCACAGTTTTCCTGCATGACCTTGATTTCCCTAACCTGGACAGTAAAATCTGTAACCATACCTGTCATTCTAGCATGCTTTAAGATCTTCAGTGAAAGAATGGCAGTCGTGATGATGATGATGATGATGATGATCCTCGGCCCTGACAAAAACGTCAAATATTCAGTCTCCCCTCAAAACAGGGCAGAACTTTGTGTGAGTACAACCAGTCACAGGTTTGCTTTTGAGCTGAAGTATGCACTTTAGCCATGAATTCTAACAGTGGTGTAGGATGCTTTCCATGTCAGCACTACTTGCTCTACAGCAAAATGCATTTCAAACGTGTTTTTTGGAAAAAAAGAAAAAAGAAAAAAAAAAAAAAAAAAAAAATCAAAAAAAAAAAAAAAAAAAAAAAAAAAAAAAAAAAAAAAAAAAAAAAAAAAAAACAGGGGGAGTTCCTGAAGTAAATTAAGCTACTTTTAAGCAAACAGATTTTCTCGCACATCATCATCATGTAGTAAAAGATAAAGAGAAACAAATATACTTCAGAAGTTTATTGAAATGCGCACACTTTTATTAACAGACTGAGACAGCCTTTATTATTTAATGAATMCTTTTAGGTATTAATTTTACAGTCAGCATACAAACCCACTCTTTAAAACCCTTAATCCASTTCTGTGACCTTTTTATTTTAGAAATAGGAAGAAATAGCTTTATAAGATGTCACAATATTTGAATTCAGACCTTTTGATTATAACACTCAACATGAATAGCACCAAGTTGTGAAAAGAGCTGTAAGAAAAGCTTAAAAATATCCTCAGAACACTTTTTTCCCTCCCTGTTTTCATATCACCTACGCATGAAACTAAATGACAGCTTTAGCTTCTGGGTTCATAGAATCATTCTTAAACCCACTAGAAATCTCTCATAATTATAATGTTTTTAAAAAATGTACAGTTTGCTTAAATAGACCRTTTCTATCTTGGAATAAATTTGATTGAAGAGGCAAAATGCACTGAAAACATCAGATGCTTCCAGGATGTATACATAGATATTAATGCATCCTGTGATGTATATTAGACCAAAATATGTGTTTCAGACTCGAATAATGTGGATTTCATTGCTCTCTGATTTTCCCTGTCAGTTGTGAAACTGAAAGTGCCCCTGAGGTTCTCCTTGGTTTCTTGTCTGTCCAAAACACCACCCCCTCCTTTGCACACATGGTTTTCCTGGGAAAGCAGATGTTGGAGAGCCAGCTGGGTTCCAGGGAGGGACAAGTGGCAGAGTGAGGCTGGGAGACTTTCTCCAGCACTTAAATGTCACAYAGTCTAGATGTTGTCTATGTTTTACTGCTGCAGTGATGAAGGTTGTGGGAGTAAGGGCTGATAATTTGTGGTAGTCAAAGATAGCTCAGTACTTGTAAAATGTTGGATTTTAAGGCTGTTCTGTTATTTAAAAAAAAAAAAAAAAGTCTCCATGTTTGTGATAAAAGAAGTTGAAGAGATAACACAAATATTCTCAAATACATTCTCTGTATGTGAACATTGCTCATTACCCACATCCCAAATCTGACATTGCATTTTACCGTGGATTAAAATGCTATCTTTATTAAAATATTAGACTGTTGTGTTTTACAAGCATGTGTTGCTACAAGATCACAGCTTCTTTTTCTTAGGCTGAAAAAATGATGCCTGAGGTTGGAAAGAGAGTAACATTTAGATCATCTAAGTTTAGACTGCTGAGTTCTAATGTTATCTCTAGAATATATGGGAAGCCATCAGAGGTGTTTTCTATAGCACCTGCCTTTCCCTGCTGACTCCATAAGGCACTCAGTTCTAATATGGCCACCAAAGTTAAATTCCTAAATTGGCAGTAGCAGCTGATTACACAAATGAGCCCAAATGAACACACTATAGAAAGAAACACACTATAAAAATTATATTTATTATTAGAATTTGAGTAAGAGCAGATACAACACCAGTAGGAAAATAAAATCAACTCCCCAAAACCCTTCTTATTTTTTCCTGGGATCCCTGTAAACATTATGCAAATAAGAATGAATATTGCGAGTGTGATCTGCTTCTGTTTAAGTGTTTCCTTGTTCCTTGTTTCCATCATAAAATCAGGGGCTAAAATAGGTWATTCTAAAAGTGAACATAGGAGATTTCCATGAAGTTTCTTTGACATGAATTCAATTTTGTCTCATTTACATCACTTCCCTATCTATTGTGACAAAAAGGGGCAAGGAAGCAGAACTCTCATGTAGGGGTAACAAGTTTCTCTTCTAATCACTATACTATGACCACAGCTGAGAAAATCTGGAATGCTTTCCSTTAAATTCAAAATTCATTATCTGACCTGGAT